GTGTGGCCAACGCTCGATGACAAGTTCAAACCCGCAGCCTTGCAGCTCAGCTACGACATGTGGCCGGCAAGTGAGACGTGAAGTACAAACGGCATGAAATGTACGTATTTGAAGGAGTTTTGTACTGTGAAAAGCTCCGGGTTTCAGTCCTCGCCGTCATTCGAGTTCAAATTAATTCCCATTGAGTTGACTGAGCAAGCGTGAACTTTAAAATCGTCTGCGGTTCTGGCGTGCTGCAGATACCCTTTTTAGCTGCTTGGAAGAATACTTTTCTTCCTGGCATGACATCGTCATCTTGTCTTGTAAATCTGGGGCAGAGATCTATGATCAGAACATCTGAGGTCAGTTTCCTTTTGATGCTTGGTCTTTCTTTCGTAGCCTAGAATCTTCGAACCACAAGCTTTTGTGGAGGAGTCGAGGCTGTACCATGAAGATTTTCTATCAACGGGCACCATGTTCTAAAAGCCTTCCTCTATTTATATTCTTGATTCTTCTGGACATTAAGCTACCCGAAAATCCTTTGAGAAGGCTGAGGCTTCTACTTGCTTCTCCATTCAGCCGCGTTGCAAGTCTGCCAAGGCGCGGCTGTGTCCCAGCTCGCCCACTTGGTCGAAGACCAATATCAAACAAGAAAAGCAGACTCTGACCTCCCAAGGCTTGGATGAATATTCTAGGCTTTCCAGAGAGAGGGGTTGAAAGCTCCGACGAACTGGCAAGGTCCATCCACTAGGAGCTGGCACGTCAAATTTGCAAGGCAGTCCTCATTGCATTGGCCGAGAATAAAGAGCAGAGCGCTATTCCTGATTCTTTGCAATCCAAAGTATTCGATGTTGTATTGAATGTCTCCACTAGATTCCCCCCTCTCGAAACAAAGTGTTCTTGCTGCCTGGGCCTGCTCGTCCTTGACAGAACTCGGCAGCAACCAATACTGTCGAACTTTGATGTTCGGCGCCGCTTGACGCATCAAAATAACTTCCAAGGTTACCTTCCCGGTCACCGCGAGAACGTTCTTGCCAGCTCTCCTCGTCGACTCGTTCCTTCCGCTCTTTCTTAGCGGAGCCCCTAAGAACTTTCTTCGCCAAATTCACCCAATCTAACCCAACCCAAGCCACCCACCCACTCATCTTTGGTCAATATTAGTACTGCCACTTCGCCACATCAACGCTTCGACTTCAACTTCCTCCCAATGTTGAAGTCCATAAACAAACGGATCCGGTCTTTACGATCCAACAAATCGTCGGACCCCCAGGACGAGGACCAGAACGGGGACGAGGATAAGGACAATACAACCACTATGGACAATAAGCAGAACGCACCTATGCCGGCAGCAAAGAACGCCATGACCATCAGAGAAAAGGAACTCGGCCATAATGCCGATCTAACGATGATACGCACCTTCTACGCTCGACTCAATCTCAAGTGTCATCAGTGCACCACGCCACTCCGGGTCGATGATGCCAACTCCCATATCGAGACCTGGCTTAGAGACAGTCAATGTATCCCTCCCAAGCGCCAGATTGCAGAGGTTTCCTGCTGGAAGTGCAGTGCTAGGACTTGCGTTGGTTGTGGATATGAGCCGGCGTTGAGTCGAGACAATGTTTTTACCCCGGCAGGTGTTATTAACTGCTGTTGTACTGAGAGTAGAACCTACGGCATATGGCTTCTCCTGGCAAGATTCGATGACGAGGAAGTGCGAGTCAAGAGGTCTAACGTGGATGCAAGCGACAAACGAGCGAAAATGAAGACTGTTAAGAAGTCAGGTGTTGGATATGCTGCCGGGGCTGGATACGCACACTTTCAGGCGTATGGAGGCTTCCCTCATTCTCATGCACATGCACCCACTGTCACAACAAATTCCGAAGGCGGTGATGTCGCAGGTATGTTATCCTAGACAAAGAAGTGCACCAGGGTTTCAATGTTACAAGCCAAGTAGGACACGAACAAGATGTCATGCCATTATGGAATCCGCTGTTTTGTTCATCCAAAGTCCTCATACTTTCCGGTCAATACTAACTGCCTGTTTATGATAGATGATCTTATTATCGAAACCCTTCAACTTCTCAAAGGATTCCTACCAGTTGATTCCGACAAGCGAGACATCTTTATGGCAACTGCTCTCTTCCGAATGAGCATGCTACTAGATCGAGTAGCTGTTTTGCTCAGAAATGACTCAATAGTGGACTGGACGGAAAGAAGGCGCCTCTATTTTGCCCTGTTGGACTTTATTAAGGGGCTCCTTCAGGATTCCGAACTCTCTAAAATGGTCTTTGAGCTACGCCCCGGCACAAACAATAGCCCAGGACTACGTGCTTTGACGGAAAGTAGCAGATTCAGTTTCAACGTTCATGAGACTTCTACATCTGTGTTCGGCTGCACAGAAAATATCTATCGGCAGGCTAGGGTATTTCTCGACCTCTCTAAGAAGTCTGAAGATCCCACGACTGGGAAAGAGTCGATCGGAATTTGTCAAGAGGTCTTCTCCGTCTATGAACGCATGGAAAGGACGGCAAAGGCACAACCGGCTGGCATTGACCTTAAGGAACCCGTATGCCAATCCCCTAAATTGTTTATTCTCCGAACTAGACAGATTCGGAAGTTTAAGGACTCATCCCGAACTCTAAAATATTTCTTGGTTAGACAATGCTAACTCTGATAACTTGCAGTGGATTGAATTCATGGAGGAGAATAGAGTAACCTTCACAGATGAGGTTCTCGCCAACCATTGTTTTCAGAAGCAGTATTCCGTAATACATACCACCAACATTGGTCGGATGAGTACCATTGGAAAAGAGATCGCCAATATGGCTACTTCCCTCCCAGATGGAGTCTTTCTCAAAGTCGCTGATTCTCGTTCGGATGTTATGAAGGTGCTAATTGTTGGCCCAGAGGGAGGACCCTACGCTGGTGGCTTGTTCATGTAGGTTCCACCACATTCATATCATTCAAGAATTTTACTAATAGATACATATTCGAAGATTCGACTTATTCCTTGACGCCAATTATCCTATCTCTCCACCTCAGATGCGCTTTGTTCTGCCTACAGCCGATGACGATGGTCACAATTTCAATCCAAACCTTCACATGGGAGGCGCAGGTTAGTAGCTTCCTTCGAACTTTCTCGTTAGCTGTACTGATCTTGATACAGTATGCCTGTCGCTGCTAAACACATGGAATGGCATGCCGGATGGTAAGTACATCCATGAACACACACTTCCCATGACAATGGTCCTAGATTTCGGTACCAAGCGTTTCATGACCCATCAATATCAGTACTAACCTGGCTTATTACAGAAATGTGGCAACCCAACAAGAGCACCATACTCTCAGTTCTCATTTCCGTGCAAGGTATGTAATCTTGGACACATCATGTTTACCTGACACCTCACCCTTGCAACAGCGCTGACATCTGTCTTTTCTTCAGCCATGATACTCGGCGCTCCCTTTCCGTGGGCTAACGAACCAGGTCGTGAGCACGCCAGCGACACAAGCGTATCGAGGACTTATAATATGCTCATTCAGTGTAAGACAGTGAAAGGTAAATAACATTCCTATTTTATGAGACAGCCGATACCAGGGCTTCTTTATGCTGATAATTCATTGTACAGGTGCCATGACTTTCTGGCTTAGTGATGCCTTTCCAAAATCAACGGCGACAATTTGGAAGGATGTCAGTGAGGTTTACTTCCGCTGCAATGGCCAAAAAGCCCTCCAAGGCGCACTAGATTGGAGTAAACAGGGCAATAAAGGCCTCTCTGCCTTTATACCTTCATACCAGACCTTAAGAAAGAGAGCCAAAGCTAAAGCGAGCACATCTGCGAGTCCTCCGCCTGTAAATCTACTTGAACAGCTGGCGAAGCACCTTGGGACCACAATAACGGAAAAGGATTATGCGGGGTAAGTCTTTCCAACAATGTCTCACAATCTTCGAGACTTTTACCCAATAATGGTTCAAGATCCGGGATTCTCGACCTGGGAGTTTCTCACAAGACATTGTCGGAAAATCTCGATTTTGACCCCTACGAGGAACTCCTAGGCCAGTAGTCCTGGATATTCCGGACCCAGAGAGTGTCCTGCAATACCTAAGACAACCATCTGACTGCGAATTCCTTTAGGCCCGTCCCATCCGATGATTCGCGTAAGCGTAAAGCACCTGGCGACAACAGTGACACATCGCCAAAGAAGGCTAAGAAATCCGAAGCACTTGGCCTTGGAGCACTTCCTCAGGATTTTGAAATGATCGCCGATGGATTCCCCAGTCAAGAAGCAATGGACTACTATCTTGAAGACATGGAAGAAATGGACGAAGATGACTATGCGGACATGGAAGAGCAGATGCTTGGGCAATTTGGCTTCGTCCATGGAACTCACACTGAGGCACCTAACTCGCTGGCTGAGAATAACGGTCCAAGGTGGATTTATACCGGCACCAGAAATCAAAAGGAGACACGCGCTGCTTGCAAGGAGGTAAGAATGTCCTATGATCTTCGAGACATTATCAAGTTTCTAACGTTCTCAGCTCGGTATCGGTCACGGCAAATCCATCGCGGCTACTGTCGAGAAGATGGAGAAGCATGTTAATGGTAATGGGAAAGCCTCTGTGGGCTCAGATTTCCTGGAGAAATGGGGACACGTGGGGGACGAATGGAGCAGTGCATCAGATAGCAAATGAACGGCTCGTGGGGAAACGGCCGGCACCGATTCAAAATGGTTCACGTATAAATTAAGTTCGATGATATTGCCACTTTTTGCGTCTAGCACGAGAATGGGTATTGAGAGATGTGTATCATAGAGCTACTTTACATGTCCAACATGGCATTGCCTTTACAAATGAATCCGAGTTGCAGCGCAAAAAACGTATGATTTCCGTATGTATTTTCGAATCCTTTGATAAGCGTAACTTGGCCGACTTAAACGCCTGGCATTATCCCGCCAAAAACCCAAATCTTCATACAGCTCCACGTTAAGCTCCTATGCCAAGCCCAAGTAAACATCCTATAAATCTAGCATCCACCCCCACCCCCACTAGCCCCCGCGCCATTATTATTGTTCCTCCTCCTCCTCTCCATCAATGCCAGCGCAGTAACAACAACCATAACCTCCCACACGCCCCCAAACTGCTCCCTCGCCCCCCCAATAAACGCCATCTTGCCCTTTTTATTATTCCCGCTCTGCGGCGGCGCCCACACCGCCACAACAGCCCCACCCGCCGTCACAAGCTTCAACCCATGGCTCCTGCCCTGCAGAGCGCGCACTTCGGGCCCAGAGCTAGATTTCCATTCGAAGGTTTGCGAGCCGGAGCCGGTGGGGGAGGGGAGGGTGAAGGTGTGCGCTGTGGAGAAGACGCCGGCTTTTTGGAAGGAGGTCGTGAGGAGGGGGCGCGGGTTTGGGGGCGAGAAAATGCTTATGTCGGTGCCGGAGGAGAAGGTGTGTAGGTCTGCGTGGGCGAGAGGAGGGGAGGCGGGGGAGGGCGCGCTGTTTAGGATTATTGAGGGTTGGCTGGACAGGGAGTTGTGGGTGCTGATGTAGAAGAGGGGCGCGGCTTCGGCGGAGAGGGAGATGCGCATGTCGCTGTGGGAGCCCGAGGCGTGGTAGAAGCCGAAGGCGGGGGGGAATAGATGGCGCTGGTATTGTGGTTGTGGAGTATATGCTGATTTGGTGTCTCGAACTCCTGGGTTTGAGAGCGAGGTTGCTGCCTCGTAGGTTGGGGGAGCGCTATCCATGATGGACTGATGATGTTGTTCTGCTCAAGTAGGTGTTTGGATATGCTGTTAGTAGAGCAGGTATTTTGAGTGTTTTGGAGAACTAGTAAAATGGTCTTTGTTTAAGTTATGGGGAGACCGTAAGTTCTTGTATTAGCGCTCCTTCGCAGAGTGTCTCTTTCAGTAACTCGTATAGACATGACGTTGCGGCCCCTCCGCAAGGCTGAGTATATTATTTACGTGAAAAGACAGGGTTGGTAGAAACGGAATATATATGATTGGTTCTTAGCTGCGACGAAGGATTCATTTCAACTGAGCCTCGTTTGCACGTGAGTATATCATAGTACAACGCTCCTGTATATATGGGCTACGCTAACTCGCAATTTGTTCTCCTGTAATTTTTATGTTAGCGGGTGTGGCTCTACCTACTTAGGTAGGTAGGTATATCAACCAAGCACGCTGCGCAAAGTTCAGGTTACACCACCACCTCAACTATTTTTTAGCGCTATTAGATTCAATATTATATGACTTCAACTATCTCAACTTCCCAACTTGAAAACTTTCAATGTGCTTGCACAACAACGATGGCTTCTAACGCAACCCGAAACGGCATCCAACCCAAATTGCCAACTTTCATTACGGACCACCAATTGTCGAATTGCACTTTACCCACCGAATACCAAGGCCAAGGCCCATTGATCATAATGTATAGCCAAAACATAAAGGTTCCCCGAAACCATCCCAAAGTCAAAGCTCTACAAGCCGTCAGGAAGCAGACTGCCAAATTCCAAAAAAGCAATACTTTGCTCTGGGCCGACATACAACAGTGTGTTCTATTTCAACTGAAGATTCACAACTCATCTCTGGTCGGCTGTACACTTATCGATTGCACCATCTACGGAAGCAGCATCATTTACTCGCATTTGAAGGATTGTCACGTTGCAAAGAATGTTTTTGGGGAACGTTATGTGCCGTCAATGTCGTGCATCTCGAATTGCCAAATCGAGCATGGTACGGTTCTCGACACAGATATTTCTGATTCGACATGTACAGGAACACCAGGTTTAAACCTCCCAGACATCGCCACGCCCTACGACCGTCTGCGCAGCATATCTCAAAACTGTACGCTCGAGAACAGCCTTCTTCTTAAAACAGCCGCATTTAATTCTACCCTCACCAATTGCGGCGTTCACGAGTCCGAGCTCCGACGATGTGATATTATTGGATGTTTTCTCGCAGAGTCTGTGATACAATCGAAATATGTCTCTCTCCGTAAACTCCCTGTTGAGATCCGGAAAATGATATACTCCAACGCTATCGCCAACGAGGGGCTTGCAACAAGTTTGATTACTGCACTTCGTTCGGACTCGCTTTTATATGGCGAAGTGCTTGAAACGTTGTTCGCGGAGCATATGTTTGTGCTCGAGCAGCGGAATCATGAGACTGTTAGGTCGATGCCGAAGGAAATCACCCAGAGAGTTTCTAAGTTATGTCTCAAGTAAGTTAATTCCTGACTCTTATTATCTTATAGAAGTAAACATATCTAATACTCTATTAATAGAGCGGGCCGGCCAAACTTGGTCCAAAGATGATGTCTCGTTGTATATTCCTCCCGGCACTCGAATCACTGATATACAAATGGATTTTCAAGAACGTGTGAATGTACATGAATTCTATGCTGTCACGAAACTTTGGTTCCGGTATTTTGGCACCGTTCGGAAGTTTACAGTTGTGTATACAATTTTGCTAAAGTACGGGACTGAGCCACCGGAAACATTGATGCATTGTATCAGAGTTGCAAATAAGTGGCTGAAGAGAGAAGCCGTGCTTATTAAGGATTCGAAGGGACAGAAATGGACGTGGACGTGGATGGCTGAGAAAGGAAGTGTGCTATTGTGGAACTCTTAGGATGATGCGATATCCGGCTGTGCAGCCTGGGCCGCTCTTCCCAGCACAATCTATAGCACAATGTCTTGCCAGGTGTTAGGAGAACTAGCTCTTGAGATCTTGTGTTTGTACAAGTGCAAATCTGGAGCATACTAGTATTTCAGATCGCAGCCCACTTTTCATTAGAAGCAACCGAGAGAAAGAGAATTACAAGGATGGGCCGACCTCACCTACGATTGGAAACCATACTCCCCCCGTGCCCCGTGGGTCAAACAGCCGAGCATTATATTACACAATTTTACGAATTTCCTCATGTTTGTCTTGCCACACCTCTCAAGTGATTAGTAACAATATGACATTATCAAGCTTCAATTCAAAGAAGGCTGTGGAAGGTAGGCATATATTCATAGGACCCGAGTTCTCGGCTGAGATCGTCGCCTGCAGGGACGAACTTTCCCTTGACTATACAATGCAATTATTCGACCTTGATCAACACCAGATGCTGGAATGTCCGCAATTACATTTTGCATGTTACCGCCAGACCTGTGTTAGCCTGAAATATATGCGCTACTCCTTTGCGGGTCAAACAGCAGCAAGATGTGTTCACACGGCGTGGGAATTCAAGTTTGGGGGCCCAGCCTTCACGTTGAGTTCTTTGAGATGAGGCCACGAAAGATTCGAAGTTCAGGCCGCACCGACTCAGATTATCAGGAGTGTGCTTTGTGGCTTAGTTCCTTCGTGCCTTGAAGCGTGCTGTGTTACCCGCGCTGTGCAACCAAAAAAGGCAGTATACCTAAGGTAGGTAGGTAATGATAAAAACCCCAAAAAAGCCTGCATCAGTTGTCCCACCACACACCACATACCACACCTCTTTACACCGTTTCCATCTCATGCTTCCTTGATCGAGTCTGCCTTTCGCGAATGCTCGCCTCCGCCACCCCCGACTTTCGTTTCCTGTATTATTAATACCCTTATTTGAAAGTTGAAACGCTGATATGTAGGTACTAGGTATACAAATGTCTCGCATATCCATGGGGAGGCTGCTTGAGCTGAACAATGAGATATTAAAAGCATAAGCTCCTCTGCTAGTCTGCTTGTGCTCGTCACTTCGGGATATTTGAAAAGGCGTATGATCTGCCTATTATTCTTGTTGACGAACGCAATGCCGACAACGCAAGTGCAAGAATGCTACAACGACATGGATACAGCCGAAGAGCATCAGTCAGTTCTGGAAATCGAACGCCATGATGAACCAGCCGAGCTCCCGGATTACGAGCGAGATACCAAGACGAAGAAATTCTGTATCATAGGCCTAGTTCTAGCCTGGGTCGGAATCGCATGCTGTATATCTTTGTCAGTCTATATCATTGCCACTAATGGATCCTACCGCATCGGTGAAGGAGAGGATTCCATTGATGTAAAGAGCTACCTCGTTCGCGAAGTGAGAATCACTGATGCTATTGCCGAAGCACTCGCATTTCTGGTCAACATTATCGTCACACTGTTAATAGATACAATGGGATTCATCCATTCCACATCCCTTCGCTGGGCCTTGTATTGGGAAGGGCGCCTCAAGTTCAACACAAATATCAGGCTTTTCAACAGCGCTCGCAAAAGCCCTGCCAAACGCTGGTATGCAAACGCAATTTGGACAGCTGAATTGATTCTTTGCTACGCATCAACCTCTCAATTATTCATACAAAGAACTGCATATGACGGCAACCAAGAGCCCTTTGTGAATGGACTTGCTGTTGGAACTTTAGCTGTTGGTTTGCTAGGACAGGCTGATATTGCAACATGGTCTGCGTCTTCGTTACACCAGATTGCTACATGGAGCTCAAATCCTCTAAAAAATACTCTAGCACTTCGGCACCATGGAACAACACACGTACCTGGACCCTGTATAATGGCTGTGTCAGAGAAACATGATGCGACCGTTGCTAAGAACCCGCGATATCATCAGAAGAGGCTATACCGATCGACCAGGGCAATTCGTTATATCGTTGTATTAGTCTGGGCTCTACCAGTCTTAGCTATTACATGGGCTATACTTGTCACACTTGAGTCAGGGGCAGAAACTGACGCCCATTCGTGGGTGTTTAATTCTTCATGAGCAGAATATTCCACGCCTTATGAGGTATCAGATTCTACCATCATTCTACCAATGACTTCGCTTCAAAATATTATTACAACTCTATCGTTTCCATTTGCTCTTGAGCTATTCCTCGGCGTCCTCTTGGCATGCGCTATACAGGGCTCGCAGCCCATGATCCGGGGCCGGTATGGTTGTTCTATGCGTATGGACGACATAAGGCTTTGAATACGAAGCCAAATATGGGACATTATGCTTTGGCAGAACCAGCGGGGAGAAAGGGGGAGGAGGGGTTCATGTGTTTGTCGCAGAATATTGATGGTGAGTCCCCCTTGTTTGTAAACGGTGTCATGTGACTGCCCCCCTTTTCATGTTCGCCTTTCGTATCAATCATTTTCACCTTGATGTATTATACTATCAACACCACAGATCTCTCACAACAAGCCAACCGCCCACCCGCACAATTAAAGATTCTCCACTCCTCCCTCTTCGACCTAAAATGCGTCTCCTGCCCCTACATCGAGAAAGACAATTTCTCTGACCCCCTGCACCCATCCCTCCTCATCGATGAAGCCTCCATAACAGCCCGTCTCTCCACCGCATCAAGAATAAAACAAGCCTCTTTATCAACTTGCACCTCCAACAGCCCAACCATTCCCCTCAACGAATTACCCCGTTGCCCAGCCTGCAAAACCGGGATCTGCGGGGAGTTTGAGGAGCGTTAATTTCTTATTTGAGGGGAATGCGGCGAGGGTTTTGCCGGATATTTTGGGGGCCGTTGTTGGTGGGTTGGAGGAGTTTGAGGGGGAGGCGGCGATGGTTAACGGGGCTCAGGTTGCAGGTGACGAGGGGGATGAGGAGGAGGAGGAAGGGATGGATGAAGTGCAGAAATATTACGCGGTTTCGCCATGAAGTTACAGTGCTGGTGGTACCCTTCAATTTAGAATAAGAAAATGTGAATACGACCTCACAGTAAAAACTGAAATGTTCATGATGTGCCAAAACAACAATATTCTTTCTTCGCAATCGGAACCTGATATAGTTGCACTCGCCGTATGTTATACATCCTGGCCGCTTCACCAGGTTTTAAAACACATACTCCGCTCCAAACTCCTCTTAGTACAAGCACTTTTCCCAATTAGAAGAACGCCTTCCTTCAGCCAGCACTTTCCCACCCCATCAATTCCCACCATTCTTATCCAAGTCCGGCATACCGTCTCCACTCTTACTATGATACTGTTTCCTCAGAAATTCTTCCACCTGCACATCGTGATCCGGTCTATTCGGCGGTCCACTGCTCTCCTTTCCTTCTGTAGGAGGTCCTTGCTCGAAAGCGGCTTGTTGTAATGTGCTTATGCCTGGGATATAGGAACACACTGTCTCGTCAGCATGCTATTCTCGCGCCTCTCAGCTCCCTAATCACCCTCGCCCATTTCCCTGAGCTTGGAAGAGGCTATTATGGGGGACACCGAACCTTTGTCTACCAAGCCCTCCTCGTTCGTCTCCCCTCCCATGGCAGCTTCGTTCAACTTGTCCTTGTAACCCCCCTTCTTCACCGTATTCCCATGCTCGTCTTTTTTGAAATTCTGTGTATCTTTGTCGGGATCATAGCCTGGATTTTTCTCCTCGGGGGCGATTCTTGAGGCAACGGCGTCGTAGGTTGAGGAGGCGGTGTTTTTGAGTTGTTCGGTGGTTGAGGGCTGATGGGACATCTGGAAGGAGGAATTAGCTTTGGCGGGGTAATTAGAGGTAAGGGAAAGTTGGAAACTGAAGATGGACCTTTGGAATTGTAGATTCTTAGAAGGGATTAAGGAAAGTGGACTTTGAATTGTGGCTATGGAGATGTTCTGAAGGAAGAGAAAGTCGTTGTTCTTGAGGTTTGGTGGGGTAATCAATAGTCCGCTATAGTACAGCGATGCAACTAACTAGCGTCAAAATGCGATTTTTGCCGAGGACCCCCCTTGAGTGGAAAACCCCTTGAATTATAATTATCACATCGCGATTTGCCCTGCAACTATGCATTTAATTAAAAATCTAAGCTTATAGGGCAAATCGCGATTTAATAGTTTTTCTTAGTTATTTTGCCCTTAAATCTATAAAAACCCGCCCCTTTTTAAAATGCATAAGAACTAGAGCTTAAGACTATATAAAAAAGAGCATAGAATAAATATTAAGTATACGCAATCTTGCTATAAGCTTAGATTTTTAATTAAATGCGTGGTTATAGAGGTATTAATGTTTTATTGCATGAAAATAGGTTCAAAAAAGTGGTGTTTTCGCGAAGGGGGGGTCACGTCCAAAAATCACGTTTTGACACTAGTTAGTTACGTCGCTGTATGACGTAGATTTTCAGGGGTCCATCATCCAAATTTCTCGCTTCTCACTTCACTTCTTGCAGTAACTCTTTCTCTTTCTCTTCCTCCACCAACATTATATTTGCAACCAACGAAGTAGCTTGACTATCTATACAAGTGTAACCCAATTCCAAACCCCTTTCCAAAAATGATGATCCATCGGTTTGGTTGAGGTAAATTCTCAAGGAGTTGATCAAGTTGAGATCTCAGAGCCGCTTGCTTGCTCTCATTCAAGTTCTCCTATCTATCGTCTTACCATCCAGCACAGCGAAGTACGTAGCCTCTTAACACATTTGCAGCGAGTTCATAACTTGCTCCGAACCGAACCCTACAGGCGTCTGATGCATATTCTCAGCCATTCGACAGACATGAGCGCGAGCTCCCTCCCAAATATTGTATTTGGTCCAGGACGGTGGTACTTAGGACTATCTGACGACGAAGATTCAGTTGAGGAGCAGTCGGACTCGAGTAGACCCCTCGGTCTAGCGTCACCAGAAAAGGCGGAGCTGCTCTCTGAATTCATAACTGCGTTCTCGCTGGATCAAGGCTCGCTGTCAGATGAGGATTCGGAGGATTCGGAATCAGCCGAGGGTAATGGTGTCTTTTGGGCAAGGGCAAAGGAAGTAACAGGTGGGATGATCCAATTTGCTTCCAGGTGAGTCGACGTCGTCGTCTAAGGAGTTTTGCCACTATTTTCATGTCTATAACATTAGCGGATAATAAGAATAGTCTCGCGCGCTTGCCATTTTAAGATTTTATAGATGAACATTATGATTAGCACCGGCGTTGAATCTTCTAACGGCAGTAGTGATTATCGATGCATTTTGGCTTTTTTTTATATAGAAAGCAGGAGTTATTCATCTAAAAGAAACAGGGTATCGCTATGCTATTAGAACTTGTTGAAGGCTATTCCTAAAAGGAGAAGTTCAGCTTGGAAAGTCCAGCTTTTGAATCCCGACTTATATAGTTCTGTATTATATGTGGCAGAATAAGAGACGAGACCGTATGGCTGCTGAGAGTGGGGTTAGCATGGAAAAGAACCTATTAATTATGAATTATTTGATAATCAACCTCTGATGCCACAGGTACGTATAAAGCTCTTGCTCTATTTCTTTATAGAAAAGCTAAGGTATCTTTGCTTTCCCCCTAGCTGGTTAGGAGCCAAGGACTCCGTAGATCCACACCGCGGCGATCAACAAGCTTCATGTACCCCCACCCCTGCTCAGCATCCCACCCTCGAACAAGAGAAGATCATCAGAGCATGACTCTCGGCTAGGCCGAAATATGAGGTTTCTCAAGAGTGAATATGCTGCGACGTGCAACAAAACCATGTCTTGTTGCCCTTTATGTGCCGTGCATGCTCAGCATTCGTCTCGTTCGCGGCTCGCCCCCTTTTCATCCCAACACCACGTGACGTGAGATATCCTCATCGTAATCTCAGGGGCTGTGAGAAAACGACACGACTGACTGGCAGTATTATTATGGTCTGATGTCTGAATGAAGTGGAGGCGCGATTATGATCTATGAGATTTATTTGCATGCCTTCTTTTCGTGAGTGAGGGCTAAGATCCTATCCTTATCTTCTATCCGATCCTGCGCGTACGCTTTCATACCATGTCATGCTATGTAAAACACCTACGGCTTTGACCGATTGGGGGGGATTCATCCTCTTGATCGTTCGTGGAGAGGAAGCATAGCCGTATCGGTGGCGACAGTGTATGCATGTTCCCGTCTATACGACTTCCACCATGCTGTCGTAATCAATCATTCGAATAGATCGTTTGCTTTGGTTTAATCAATAAATGATAGATTTTGCTGTGAAAGCTTGTTGTCTATGATGAGGACTCAGGAGGCGCGCGGAGCGAGGATGGGAGGGAGGCAACTTCTCGCATGGAAAGTGGAGATATTCCGGTTGGAGCATGCATGGATCATGAGTCTGCTGGGCGCTGAAATCACGACCACAACTTTAAGAATACAATGATACCGGCTTTCTTGCGCAGCACAACGTCGAGTTTCTCAACAGGAGATGGTCAAGCTGAAGCTTTACCACCTCACCTTATCGTGATATCCCCTATCTTTGTCGAAGGCTCGGGTCGGTTCACTAACGGGCAGATAGATCCAGATTCGAATTTCCCGGAGCTATAGCGTACAGGGTTAGACGGTTCATGCAGAGGCCCAGTTACGCGGTTTAGTGGACGATGTGCAGATGTGCAGATGTGCAGATGGGTACTTCGTACTGTAGATGAAATGTGCAGCTGCGGCACAGAAGCTTCAGGGGAAAAGTCTGGGAGGGACGATAGACGTCAGTTTGGACAGATGGATGCAAAAGGTAGAAGGAGAGGAGTAGAATAGAGGGCAGGAAGAAGACTTATCGTATCATACCAGATATGTGTAGACATATGAGATCATGCGGGATAAATCCCGTACTACGGAGTATTCAGACATTGTGGACATTAATTTGTCCCTGGTCTGGTACTTTAGACCTGATCTAGCAAATAATGGCCGCCGCCAAGAGAAGCCGTGACATGTTAAAAGAGCGCTCTCGCCCATACGATTCATGCTACGAAGTACCTACCATGCTGTACTCCGCAAAGAAGTACAAGAAGACGTTGAGTTATCCCATTTGCCTCTCAAAGGTAGCGCTGGTTAGGTTGGGGGGCAAGATGTGGAGGTACAGAAGAAAAGCGGCCAAGGAATGACCTGTTGATTGTGTCACGACGTAGACAAACTTACACGTATTATCGACGTACAGTACCTATGCCTATGCTCAAGGTGTCGTTACAAATTGCATTTACAACCCAACTGCTTGATACTTGGGAGATCAAAAACTTACGAGTATTCAGGAGGTTAATAAATAATAGAGAGGAAGCAATATCTATAAATTACTACCTCTTTCCAGTGGCGCCAACTACTCTCCAGGATTCAGGGTTCCTGCATAAAGGAAATAGGAACAGGCAAGGGCAAGGGGCCGAACGCTTGAGACATCCTGCAGAGATTGGCTTGTATCGGCCAATCAGCAATGCCCGGGGAAGCGAAGCGAGGTACGTTCACTCCACTTCAATCCAGCTGTGCGTGGATGAGGTGAGAGGGAGAGGGAGAGGGAAGGGAAGGGAAACCATCACGAGCTTTGTTCGACTGCTGCTCAACCTTCGACATCGCCTTATTACGGAGTATCCTTCCCTCCTTCCTCCCTTCGACAACGACAACGACAACGACCACGACGCTTTTTCCCATTCTCAACTTTCCTTCAATATCAGCATCAAAACTGTCTTGTTCCATGCCTTGAATCGAGTGCTGTACTGTTTCGTTGCAGGCTAATCGGGCAATCGACTCGATAATCAATCAATCAATCAAAACCAAATTAGAAGGGATTTTCTGCAGATCGATAAAAAGTTCAGCAGCTCAGCGTTGTGTTCGTTCGTGTCACGAATTCATATCAGGGGAAACCAATTGAATCTTTCGAGGTCTATCAGGGTCGAGACAGCCAGACGCAAAAGGGACGATTTGACTTCAATTGTTACTCCATCGCCGCTTCCTCTTTATCTAAAACCTAGAGGACAAGCGCCATATACCAACCCCATTCACTTAGCAAGAAATCCACAGTCACCACCAAAATGACTTCATTAAACGAGAAATCAACTGCATCGGCCAACATCCTTACAATCACACGTCCCTCACCCGCTCGTCAACCCTCTGCAGAAAGCATCAACTCCTACACTCCCACACGGTCTTCCAAGAGCGAGAAGGAATACGCAATGAAGGACTCAACAGACAGCAACCCGGCGGCGGACTCGAAAGCCAACATCGTCACGGCTGACCTCGAGATGGGCCTCACACCCATGACTACGCAGAGCAATGCCACTAGAAATCTCCTGGCCAGAGGCAAGAGCGGTGTCGACCCATATCCATGCCGTGCACAACAGAAGCGAACGCGTCGGGAGCAAAAGCTCGCTCGCTCCAAGTGTGCATGCTGGGCTAATATGGACAAGACCAAGAGGAAGATTATCATAGTCGCGGGCATCTTGATCTTCATTGCCGTTGCAACAACCATGGCCGTCTTGATATCCAAGGCCACGGGGAGTGGGGTGTATGGAAAGCATGGACAGACCAATGCTCCTATCTCTTGAGGAATTGCTTGTAAGATACCAAGAGCCCGTTATGCTTGAATAGCTACTAATAACCCCTCAGATCACGGTCACCATTCACTCGCTATTACCTCTGATCAGGTTCCTCTCTCTTCTGGATTCGAAATACAATAATCACCCACCTTCTCACAACCGACGTCTTGTACATAATCTGCACACAGCGATACATTTTCTTTTTTCCACAAATACAATCAGCATGGCGTTTTGGCAGCATCATTGCATAGCATTCAGGCTTCTAATACTTTGCAACGAAAACCGACAATGGCTCGGCAATCTGGGGTGTAATTGTTTTAAGGCTTGGCTTTTTCTCTTTCTGGCATTGGTACGGGGCTTTATACATGTAATGTCATGTGTGGAAGCACGAAAGGAAGGAAGAAAGAAGCAATGGAATCTCAACATAGAGTCTGTATTCATGGAGAATGCGGGATAGATCAGGAGATACAATGAAGGTCAAAGGCTTTTGACCAAAACCAAAATGATCTTGCTCGTTTCAATCGCAAGTTGAGATTTATGAACCGACAGGCGATAATAGCATCCCGAAACAATAGACCGTCCATGAGTGTGGAGTTTTTGCAAATAAAGCATACACAAGTACTGTAAAAAGAGGACACAGATCGTTCTTCTCCTTTGACCTAGTATTTTCCAAAGCGCTTGCTTCTATTTATCTTAAAATCCATATCTGAAAAATGATTTGGTACCTAGCAGAGTTGTTCTGTTTCAATTTCTCCTTCTAACGAGACAATAAAACAGACTTCTTACTTGGAAGTCCCAATATCTCTCTCCCCGAGGCTCGTACCCAAAGTAACACGCCGGTTCAAACTTCCTCTTTTCAAAGACAGGCTTCTCTGATTCCCAGCCCAAACAAAACGTTCTGTCGAAAAACAAAGAGAAAGAAAAGTCAAAGCAGCAAATTTTATAGTATAACATGCCGTTCTTCATGCACTGACTAATATACATACCACTTGGTATTTTTGATAAAATGAGGATGATGAGGGAAGATATTTAATGCGGATATGGAATAAGGAACTTGTGAGGAAATCAAAAAAAATCAAAAGTATGTATATGGAGTAGAGAAAGAAATAGAGGGAGGGAGGGAAGAGTTGTATTGGTGGTGTTGGTAAGCAGCAGGGTCGTACTAAGTGGGGGCTGGACGGAGCTCGGGAGTGGGAGACATCCGAGGGAAGAATACGAGGTTTACGAGGTATGCGGGGGTGACTCGGGGAGTTGGATGGGGATTTCTTAGCTCTGGGTTTTGTTTTGTTTTGTTTTGTTTGTTCGTTGTTTGGGGTGTTGGGCTTGACGTTTAGTAGGGGGGGAGAATTGTTGATGGGAGGTTGCGGTGAGATGATCAGTTATTATATAGGGCTACGTATACTGGTAGTACATCATTCTCCTCTTGTCCTGTTTTCCTTGGTTCTTTTCCTAGAGTAGGAATGAAGCTGAGCGGCGTTATATCTACTTACTTCCATACAAAGGTCATTCATTCATCGACATAAAATCTTCTCCAAAACACCTTCTAACCTCTCCCCCAACCCGCCCTCCTGATCCTTGACCCTCCATGCCACAAACCCATCCGGTCTCACAAGCAGTGCACCGTGGGCTCCAATACCAGCAGCGTATTCCCACCTCCTTTTCGGATCCGAGATGTCGCCCGTAGGTCCAACACGATACGCGTGCAAACCAACACCCGTCTTCTCCGCGACATCGGAAGCAGCTTGACACCAAGGCTTCCCCTGCGATCCCGTGAGCAGCAAGAATGTCTTCCCGCACAAATCAAGTGTTGAAATCTGTTCGCCCGCTGCATCTTGCACCCAGACATGCGGTACCCGCGTCCCAGGCTTCCCATTGATCCCTAGGACTAACGACTGGATAGACCACGGCACGTTCCACCAGCTCATCCACCACGGCGCTTCTTCTTCATCGTTGATTACAGCTGGGGAATTGGTGTACTGATACCCGAATCCGATAATCATCGGCAGCCGTCTTGCCATGCTCCACGCCCACGTCACCTTTCCGCGCTTCATGTCCGGTAATCCATACCCGTCAGCCAAGTCCCCCGACTCCCTTGCTACAAAACGTGCGACAGGCAGCCTCTCGCTCTCGTAGCTCTCTAGCAATTTAGGATTTGCTTGGCCGGAGAGAACGCACGCTAGTTTCCAGGATAGGTCGAAGACGTCTGGGATTCCTGTGGTGGCGCCCTGGCCTGCGTACGGTGTCGTTTGGTGCGCAGCGTCTCCGGCGAGGAAAATGCGCCCGTTTTGCATGGAGCTGGCCGCGACGTCGGATGGTTGCCACGGTATTATGCTCTTGACCTGTATTTCCAGATCCGGGATCCCTATCGCGAGACGTAGCAGTTCTTCCACGCGTTCCATGGTGTAGGCTTCAGCTTTCTCCTTGTCGGGATCGTAGCACAGGTGGAAAACCCATATATCGCTATTGTTGATGGCGGAGAGCAAGCCGCGGAGCGCAGGCTGGACGATCGTACAGAGGCTTATTTCGCGGCCTCGTACGAGGCCTGAGAGGTCGGCACGGAAGAGGATGTTGAGGAGGTTTCCTAGGGCGCCTTTTCCAGTTGTGCCTATTCGGAGCGCCTTGCGTATCGGACTGCCTGCTCCATCGGCCGCAATCACATACTGTGCCCGAACCTTTGACACTAGATTCGGGGATTCGCGGTCACGTAGCGTGGCCGTCACGCCCTCCTCATCCTGCTCGACATTCTCACACACAGTGTTATACCGTAACTCGCCACCTCGCTCGCGTGCCGCTTGCGCGAGAACGGGCTCCATCATATCCTGCGTGCACCGTGCTCCCTCGGTCGGGCTCACGAGACCGTCCCTCCAGCCCGCCAGAGGCATTTGGCCTCTCTTCCTGTCGCCTTGGTCTTCCTTCCTCGCTATGCGCTCTATGACTTGCACAAACGAGGTCCCCTTTAAGATTCCATTGCTAGGAGACAGCGAAGCGCCGGCTGTGCGCACAGCGCTGTCGATGCCGATGCAGCGGAAGACCTCCATGGCGCGCGTGTTGAGACCGCG